GGGGTGGGGGGGTGGGGGTGGAGTCAGGAATAAAATGTCTTTAGGTCTGATCGTCTGAAGGTATTTTTAATCGAATCGTTAGCCAGGTCCATTTGTTTCCATCTTGATTGTATTGATGTAACTGGTATTTACTGTGGAAGTGTTCTGAGGAGAAGAAGAATCTTAAAATAATCAAATCTCGATGATAATTTGTTTTGAATCAGTTGGATAGTTTCTGAAAAGTTTTCCTTTGACTAGGCAACTTCTCTCTCTGTCTCTCCAGATGTTTTTAAAACGCTTTTACGTGAAGGGAAATGGTCCTCGTTTCGCTCTTCAACGTGATTATTAAATAGATTCTAATTTTATTTCAAAAGCTTTGGTATCATGAAATATATCAGGGAGAAGTTTTCTGTTTCTCTGAAGTTTCGATTTACGCTAGTTCAGTAGAGATATTTTATCCACCAAGAACCAGTTCAAGAATACATCATTCTGCATCTGATAATTCGAGTGCATGGTTTTCCTTTTTGGTGTTGAACATCTCAGTTTCTGCTCTTATTAAAAAGATGTCTTAGCATATTTGCCCTTCCAAGGAACCTTACTTCAGTGCGATAAAGTACGTTACCGAATTCCACCAAAAAGTGTTTGAACTTACGATGATTTAAGTCATTCTCTGTTATGAAGTTTGCCGCAGAAATTGGGACCTCCATGACGGAATTGGACCTCAGAATTTTACTGCAGTGAAACATCGTCGGACGTACAGAATTTTGTTGCATAAGTTCACTGAAAATGTCATCATACGACCTCTCACGTTCTGTCCACTGCCCTATGCTACGCGTTGTAACGTTGCCCGTTTTACGTATTCCTAATGAATTCAGCGTTTGTTTAACCTCCATGAGCAAATAGTCTTCAGTTGTAGTATCGTGTATACGTCAAACGGATGCGAATTCTTCATAATGAGAAAAATTGTCTGTGATACAGATGAATATGAAAAGAAATGGGAACGATCTGGTACATAAATATTTTAATCAAATGCTAGTTAGTGGTATGGGCGGGGCATGTAGCGTGCATGAATGGTACAAGAGGTGTGCTCCAGGTATTTATCGGGAAGCCTGAGGGGAAGAGACTGCTGGGGAGACCTAGACGTAGATGGGAGGATAATCTCAGGCGGGATCTATGGGAGAGAGGAGTTGAAGGAGACTGGATTTTGTTGGCCCAGGACAGGGTCCGGTGGAGGGCTTTGGTTAATTCGGTGATGAACCTTCGAGTTCGGTAAGCCATCTAGTTAGTTAGTTAGTTAGTTAGTACTCATTTCGTAGATGAATCTAGGTCTGGAAATTGGAATAGGTTCAGACGCCAAGTAAAATAACCCTTCCATGAAATATGCGGACGGTAGGAAGGGACCTTATTAAGCGAACATTTCATGGCGATTAACGCGTAAGGAATTTACTTTGCGTTTTGTGTTTCAAGTGTTCCTGGAGACTGGTCCCTAAGTATTCTATTCATCTCGTCACCGTACCCGCTGAAAAAGTAATGTCTTCTCAGGACAGATTTTTTTCAACATTTGCTAAGATTCGCGGTTGATAAACTCAGCATCCTTTCTTAGCTAACTGTTCGGTCACTCCGTAACTGTCATGGATCCCAGCTTTGGTTTCATTGCGGCGTAATTTTAAATATTATTCCAGGATGCGTGCGGTGTTGATTATAATCGGAGTGTGTTTAACAATGATTGAAAATGAAAAAGTAGAAAATAAATTTATAAAACCTGAGAAACTAATGTTGCAACAATAAACTAAAAAGACACGAAAAGGTGTATTTTAAAAGCTATTAGCTTTCAGATATTTGATTTCGCTGCTAATTTTATAAGACATGAAGTTATTAATACAGCAGCCATATTTTGTAAAATTCCGTATGGTTTTGTACGTCTTTTTGGAGGTATTCTGTATAACTTCAATGCCACAAAGACGTAACATTTGTGAACTAGCTAGGTTATATTTGGTAACTGAGTGGTGTTCTCTCTTCCAGGCATCGTATCCTACACAGAGTACCTGTTTCTGCTCTCAATCCTGACGAGTAAGTACTCATTTCAAAGCACGTGTTAACCTAATCTCATAATAAGAATCATATCTAAACTATAAATAAATATAGTAAGAATCATGTCATTCGGTAAATTGAGATTACGGGTTTATATTCGGCTCGAAAACGGAATATCCTGACCGAGATTTTAGTAATTTTCCTCATTTCGTTCAAGCAAATGCTTGGATTTTACCTTAGATAGCCCACAGAAGCTTAATTACCTTTACAATTCTTTTTTGTTAATCGTCCTATAATTTTTTACTTCAAAAGTATAATTGAAGATACATAGTACATTCCGTTGACGTTTCAGAGCCACAAACTGGATTCCGTATTGCCTTCAATATGTTTGATACGGATGGTAACCAACGTGTTGACAAGAACGAGTTCCTGGTGGTGAGTATGAACCCTGGAATGCTGCAACCCAACTAGCACTTCAGTCAGATGGTTTGCAGAGATGCGGTTCCTGCTGGTGACTCCAGTCTTAGGTTTTATGACGGATTTGTTTCACTGCATCTACTGTACTCATGGCCACGGTGGTCTAGCGGTTAGAACGCTGGCCTTATAATCCTGGGGTCTCGGGTTCGATTCCCGGCGGTGCCCGAATTTATAACTTGTGTTGGGCAAGGCCGTGGTCTAGGCAACACGGAGTTTTCCTCCGGGGGCTTCCCCGGTTTCTCCGTGGCATCCCAACAATTACTCCATTCACACACAGAAGAAGGCAATGGCGAACCACTTCTGGATCATCTGCCAAGAACGTATATGAACAGGTCCCAGTCCGAGAAAAGGATGGAAGGATCCTGTTCATATGGACCTGTCGTCAGACAGAACACTAAATAATATAATAATAAATCTACTGTACCAAGAATGCCAAACCTTTTCACTGACTGGTGACAAATTTACATCAGATTTTATTTCCCAATAGGAAGTTCGTCCAACCACTCATTTTCTTTGTGAGACGGTTTCTTAAATTCGATTTTTATGTAATAACCAATTCCATGGAGAAATGTTTTTGACAAGCTAACAACGAACGTTGTGGACAAGTGGTTATCAACCCTTCTTCGTATGCTGAAGGTTTCGAGTTCAAATCTCAGCCCGGAAACCAGGCATCTTAAAATTCTTCGTGGTTTTCCTTAGCCTCTTCAGGGAAATTTAGTACCTGAAATTATACCACGACTGGCTTTCTGCCATATCCTTTCCAGTTCATTAGTTATTAATCCTATAATTTGGTTCTGCTGACATCATCGTTAAATAAATAGAAATTTCAGTCACAAATAATCAGTGCAGTTGGGTTGACTTCAAATCCAATAATCACTAAGTAACTGTACTTTTGAGTAGTTATTAAACTTTTTACTTATGAAATCTTCCACTCCATCAAACAGCAGAAAAATGAGATAAAAAAGTGTCTTGTTGTACTGTTGACTGCAGATCCGTCGCTTGATGGGAGGAAAGCTGATGTACGACCGAGAGACTGATGAGGCAACCCGCCAAGTTGTGAGTTATCGTGTGAATGCATGTTCTAACCCACGCTATGACCAGCACACATCTTGCGTCTCAGCATCGTAATATGTCCGGAACTTAACCCTTATAATGCTATGACTGATTTGATTAGTTATAAAAAATATGTGTAAGGTGCCAACATCAGTCACGTCAATCTTATGTAGAAAATATGTCTGATATATTGTACTGCCGCAGGAACACCCTTCTAATTCTTCTTTCTTTCTTTTAGGTTCAAAACCTGTTCATTCTACTATCTTTCCTTAGAGCGGCCATTGGTGGTAGAAAATATGTTTAATTCCTATAGAATTCAAATTGAAATTAATAAAATTCAACATTTCTGTCTTCTGGGTTGTTGCACGATTAATCGCCCTGATGACGGAGGCAGTAAGACCTCCAAAAACGTTGATAAACATCTTCCATACTACACAGCGCAATGCAACAACCCAGAAGACAGAAATCTTCATACTCACAGCTGTGAAAACCTAAAATTTTACATAATAAAATTCAATCAGTGGTAGTTTTTTGGATTTTATTAAATTGGGGTGAAAACCATACAAAATCTCTATCAGTACAGATGATCTCTGGGCCAGGACTTGAACCCATGATGTCCTGAATACAAGGCAGCAAACTAACCAGTTGTCCATGAGACCTGATCAAGGTTGTATGAGAAAACAATTTTCCTGCAAATTTTAGTGAAAAAAAAATCTGGTGATAAAAGATCAACATTTTTATATAAACTTCATATAACTTTTCTTATTTCCTTGACATGCTATGAACAAGAAAGTCTCTTCAGCTGTATGTTTTTGAAACAAAATCTTTCTTGTCATTATTCAGAATTTCATACTGAATATTTCGCAACCGTTTAACATTGTTAGTTACAAAATGTCATGGAAATATTAAAACAAAATAAATAATTTAGTTATATCTTTAATAATTCAGTATGGAAGGGGGTCATTTGTTTTTTTTTTAAAAAACATTCTCCCCACAAATTAAGTCCTACCAAATATTGAGTGGTTATATACCTGAATGTTGTAATTATTTTAAAATGAATGATAACAGATGGGCTTGCTTGTGTTTTATCTCGGCATTGCGCTATAAAGTGTGATTTCTTAACACCGTTCTAGTTTGAATAATGAGAACAGTAAAACAGACTATTATTTTGTAATTTAAAATTTTCCAAAGAAATATTCCATAATTTAATGAAATTGTCTTTACAAGTTGATGACGCAGGTGTGTCTGGTGGTGGTGGTCAGATTTCAGGTCTTCGCCAGCTTGCATCTGTAACCTACACACCAAGGGTACAGGGACTATGTATTGTCATAACCTCACTTTTCTACAAATCTAACATCCCTGTATCCTTGAAATGTGAATATCACACCACTCAGGTCTCAAGTTACTTGCAATGATATTGTGTAAAATTCTCATAATGAAAGGTTTAAAACTCACAAAGTTTTTGGAAAAAATATACATCACTGCATACTTCAAGATACGAAAGCCTCTCAGAAGTACGATCACTCTCAGGGTTTTTATTTTAACAGGATAGTGTTTTGTTAATATTCATTATAAATAAGCATAATTAGTGTTACTTGAAGAACTTTAGTCCACTTGAAATGACACGTAAATACACGTTTACCGAAATCAGATTACAGTTAGAAGTATTAATTTTTAGAATTTAAACAACATTTAATTTAGTGATATTGGAATGTTTAGATATGAATCTGATGAAAAATACTGACATTTTAGCATAATTTCAAAGATATAAATGAAAGTAATGTGTATCTCCAGATACTACAATTTTTTTTAATTGTAGTAGAATTATTCATTCCTGTTGGTTAAAATTGTAATTCAAAATTAAAAGTGAGCAATTTCTGTAGTGGACTTGTATGTTACATCACATGCATAAATAATTTTTTTGCTAGGGAGAATAACTGAAACTTTTGCCGTAGTGCTAGCAGTGACTGTTTTCTGTGTTTCTTGCCCATAATATAACACTATTTTTCACAAACGTGTGATTTCGTCCTGAGTGGTATGATAAGCCATAAATTGCCTCTTTTTGCAGCCAGATGTATGGTACTTGCTTGCGTGTGCTAATCAGTGTTTATTGTTTCAGAATTCGTCTCTGTCTATACTAATGCAAAATAACTGTGTGTGTCTGTTTTATTTATAATTATCCATGCTCTTCTGTGATAGAATTCAAAAGGAAATGTTTTTGACCTGGCTAGTAGATTTCTGGGTGAATGAACCTCTGCTTTTCAAGTTCTTGTGTAAACATTATCAACTTCCTTGGTAGTTAAAACCAAATTTGGGACAAAGTCACTGCTACAAAGTGTGTCACAAATTCTTTGGTGATGATAATTCTTTAACAACAATTATAATAACTGATAAGAAAATACTAAGTCAGACATAACACTAATGCCTATCTGACCCGAGTATTCTATACCAAATAACAACCTTTAAAAATTGCCAAAAATCAGTCGTAAGATATGTACTCCTAATAGAAGAAATAAAGCAATTTAAGCACTGAACTTAAGTATATGTGATATGTTTCAAGTGCTTCTGTCTTCCAGTATACTCATCCTAAAGGAATTCTGTGATAAACTTTGAAAATCATTGATAATAGCAGTCGTGGGCTATTCACAAGTATTGGCCAAATCCTGAGGGGGGAGAATGTTAAATTTTGCCATTTGCATATGTTACATTGTACACTCGTACAACAAAGGTTACATAATTAAAATCACAAGAAATATTATGCTAATGATTCATTTTTTCTGATTGGTTCTGCTGTTGAACATTGTATGGAATGCAATTAAATCACAAAATTAAGGCTTTTTATTTGTCATTTTTAAAAGTGTTAGCCAGGCTAATATTGCTAACATGAATACACCGCCTCTGGGTAATAATTAATTGGTTGGTTACACACCAAATACTAAATGACATTACCCAAATGTAATGAAGATGCTTGTATTCTACATAGAACCAATCCAACATGTTCCATGCAATTGTACATATGTAAATTTGTAAATATTTATCATAAATCACTAATTATGTCCTGTATCCAACCATCAGACTGGTTCCTAATGGAGAATCAATAAACTTCTTTTTCCTGAGTTTTTTTATCTCAGGCGGGTTGTTTATAATATAACAACAACAATAATACTAATGATGATTATCATTATGATAATCCAAGAACTACAGCTGAGGCAATTATTTTCAACTCAGGAGTTTCCTATACATTGAAGTGCTTCTTAGCCAGACTAGAGCACTGATTCACTTCCATCTAGTACCGAGGTCTAGAATTGGAGGATCGTTACCTTCATATCTGCCATATGCTCATATGATGTTGTGTTTAGACACAGTGGTAACATTATGCATTTGTTCCTCCAAAACATGGTTACACAGACTACAGTGTTATCACTGTGAATATGTCAGATCTCATAAAGAATAACTTTACTTTGAGAAACATATTTCTGACATTCTCATTATTTTGTAGCAAAAGTTAGAGGGTAGGACAGGCCCCTTTTTTTTTCAAGGAGGTTCATTCATTTTCTTTCCTTGATTTTAACATAAGTTTCTGTTTGCAGCAGTGTTGCCAACTAACATAGATGCCTTATAAACTCCTAGCCTCCATGTTCGAGTATGTTATTGCTTTGAATGACTGTTATGTCTGGTTGGTAGACACTACATTATGTGACATTGTTATTATAGAACCTTAACTCTGTATGTGAGTGTGTATGTGATTGTACAGTACTTTAAAGTGTGTAACTCTCAGTTGGCTCTTAAGTAACCTACCCCTATACAGAAATATGCCTCTGTAATTGCTAGCAAGGGTATAGAGAGGTCAGTTATATCTATTAAAATTACAAGTAAACCTCTGCAAAGGCAAATTAAGGTTAGGCATTGTCTACAGTTTAGCCATCCAGTTGCTGTCTTGTGGTATCTGGTTCTGAATCTTCCTTCTCTTAGCATATTTTTGTATATGAGTAATATCTTTAATGTTTCCATTTTTAGCAGCATTGCATTCCTCTCTTTATTTTGAAGACAAGAATGAAAAGTTGACAACTGTCTGTGACTAATATCTACATTCTTAAGAGTTCCTGTTTTTTGCCTATCTCATGAAGTAGAGGAGTTAGGGTTTTAAGGTGAGTTCTTGTTCGTGGTGAAAGCCTTGTTCTTCCACATTGGCAAAGCCTAAGCTTTGGAAGAGTTTATGATTCGATCTGGTCAGGGATCAAACTTGGAACCCTCAGAGCAAGAGTCTGGTTTCTTATCATACGTTTGCTAGCTTCAAAACAGTTACAAAGTCAAGATATTTCAGGTTCTCATGGTAGTAAATATGAAGCTGGTTGTCTTCAGGGTTGTTAAGCCGTAACGTTTGGTAGAAGTTTATGAACGTTTGCTGCCTCTGTCATTGGGGCAGCAAGCATCTCTGAAATATCAGTAAACTTGTGGCACAAGAGGCCAGAAGACAGTCAGCTTCTTGCTACAAAGTGTCTGCTGTACTTATTTTCCCTGTTGAGTCAAACTCCCACCAGGACTGGTTTACATCGTTGTTTCTTTTGAACAAAATGCACAATAGATAGTGGTTTACACTGTTGTATCTCTCAAGTCAATCGAATTGGTTAATACATTTGTATCTCTTGAGTCAAACTCCCATTAGTACTGGTTTACACAGTTGTGTTGGTCTTATGTAGTTGGCCATTAAATTTGTCCAAACTTATATGCTTTTTTATAACAGCCTTTGTGTATGACCTATTGTAGCCACCATTAATATGTTTGTAGGATGTCTTGTCCAGTTTTTGCTTATATATTTTATTTTGCCCAATATTGTAGTAAACATTATGATGTTTATTATTCTAGTAATACTAATTAGTATATTGTATTATAATTATTATTTTTGCTGGTATTATTATTATTCCATTTATTCACCATTTTACAGGGTATTTACTTTTATGTACCTGAGACAAACCTTGACCCTGAGGTAGATAGTGCAGCAGCTATTTCTGAAATACATTTTGTTTTTTAATACGTGTTACATGCATTAGGCAGATTTCGCCTGAGGCAGTATTATGCATTTTACATGAGCGTCTTTCGAATGATGTATGATGTTCCTAGAATGGCAGTTTTCTGAAGTTGCCTAATGTCGTGTTCGCCCAGGATGTTGGCCAAATATTTTTTGAGTGACCTGGAGACATTTCCAGGTGCTCCTTTAATTACTGGGATTACTTTTGCTTGAACGTTCCACATTTGTTGTATTTCAAGATCTTCTCCGCTCCCTTCTTAATTACATACCAATACTAACTTTATCCCTACTTTCCTACAATGTTAAAATGTAACTGAGCACAGACACGATCATGTCATTGTATATATTGCTCATTTGCCAGCACTGGTCATCCAGACACAATGTGATCTGTCATTTCCTCAGATTGCTGACATAATCTGCATTTGTTGGCTGTAGCTCTTTTATTTTATTTTATTATTATTAGTAGTATTATTCCATCTATTCACCATTTTATAGGGTATTTACTTCTATGTACCTGAGACAAACCTTGCCCCTGAGATACATTAGTGCAGCAGCTATTTCTGAAATACAGTTTGTTTTTAATGTTTATTATTACCCACTTATTCTTTATTTCTCTGCAAGACCAGACAACAATTTTTTCATACATTAACACCGAGCTACTTAATTAGGTTACTATATTACTTTTGGTGTTACTTTAGTTGATGAAGCTGGTGGCCCGCTCAGTCCTAGTGATTTATCCTGACAAGAAACAAAAGCAGCAAGAATTAGAAGCCAAGAAAAAATCATCGCCCACATTTGTAAGTCAATTGTTTGGGTTTGCTGTTGTTGTTGCTTGTCATCCCGTCACATGTGTGAAGTTCTGCTGGATAATGGTTTGTGCCTTACAAGCAGGTAGCATGAAAACATCTGGAGGTAGCAAAAGTACTACTATTAACAACTTTCAGTAGGATTTGAGGCTTTCACGACTGTGAGTCCAAAGATGGCTGTCTTCTGGGTCGTAGTGCTGTATAAGCTGGTAGAAGTTTACCAACGTATCACAGGTCCTCACTGCTTCCATCATCAGGGCAATGAGTGATTCAGGATTATCCATGATAATGTCTATGAATATTAAACATATTTAATAAAAACTCAAAAATGTATGGTATAGTCGAATACAGACAAAGTCCTGTAGCATGTTTTAATTTATTTGTCACATTGGACATGTTTTTATATGAATATCTAACTAAAGTACCTGTTATTTTCCCAAGTTGTTCTTAAAATAGATTATACTGAAATAATGAAACTATTCCATTATTATGACTGAATTGAATAGAATTGAATTGAATTGTCAAAATATACAATTCTTTACGGTAATAACAATTTTGGGTAAGTGGAAGTGCATGTTGGGTGTATAACCACTCATTCAAAAGCTGACATTGCCCTGATGTCCTGAAGAATTAATGTTTGGCAATCAGAATTAAAGATGGTGCAGAATTAAGCCATTTTTGAAACATTATCACATGAAATTGTTTTCTGAGTTGTGTAGAAGTACACATACGTAGTAGGCCATGGATAAGCAAACAGTCTTCTATTTCAGTGCATTTTTTCAACTCTGTGAATAATAATATGTGAATGTGAATATGTGAGGTTAATGTTTGGCTAGGTAAAGATACTAAAGTCTTGAGAAAAAGGAAGTAACACGAGACAGAGAAAATTACATAATGAGTTTCATTATTTTTATTATTCACCAAATATTATTAAGGTGATTAAATCAACAATAAGGATTAAGTTATGACATGTAGCATGATTTGGATCATAAATGCTTACTAAATTTTAGTTGGAAAGCCTGAAGGGAAAGGACAACATGGAAGATGTAGAAGTAGGTGGGATGATAATATTAAAATAAATCTTAAATAATTGTGATGTGAGTATCTGGACTGTGTTTACGTAGCTCAGAATAGTGTTCAGTAGTGAGTAACATTCAGTGGTAGTGTTTGTGTCTTGTACCAAAATTCTGCATCATTGATGGTCACTTTGTACCATATTTACTGTAGAATGGTTCCTTAATGTTGATTCATTAGATGCAATGCTGTGTGTCTATACATTTCAGTGAAAAAAATTATATGATCCTTTCTTGAAACTCCAGAGGTTTTCAGTTATTCTGCTTGACGTCTGACCCGTGTCATTGTATTTGAGTGAGAGTACTTTGTGATCCCTGTTAAACTGATTGAATTGGTGGTTTCGATCCTAGCTTGGTTTTGTTACCCAGAGATACACTGACAAATATCATGGCTTTCGTGATGTTACATCTAGTGTGATGTGTTTTCATAACCTGTGTCTTTGTTATACTTCTCTGCATATGCATGGAATTAATGCATATTAGGAAGATCATGTCTGCTGTTGATACATCTCCACAGAATCATTTGGCAGTGTCAAGAGTATGTTATCAGATTATTGTAGTGCTTACTAGACCAATGGTATTCAACCTTTTTTGTTCGCCTACCCCCCAGATAAAAATTTTCTTCAACTTTGTACCTCCAAAGTTGTTGGTGTATAATTCAAGTTATACGTAGTATATAATCTACATCTAAAATAAATTAAATAAATTACATTACTGATTATTCAGTGTTTATCATAAAATAATATATTTATTTTTAAAATTTCACGTACCCCCTAAGATGTCTTCGCGTACCCCAGGTTGAATACCACTGTACTAGACAAGACTATTTTTTATAAATCCTAATATCATGTCACCTGTGTGCTGTTAGTGCTGTACATATGCATATGCCACTGCTCCTATTAGGCTATGCATGATGTAACTGGCAAGAGGAATTGCTTCAAATTTATACCAGGGTGTCTGACTATTTAATCAAACCTGGTGTGACTATGTGAAGTGGCTTTTCATTAAATGTAGTATAGCTCCATCGTGTATATGGTGTTGAATACTTTGGTTGTGTTTCCTTGCAGTTAACTGTATTCTGCTTATAACAGGTCTCTGTTAGTTCCTTGGGGGCATCTGGTGACTGCTGCTTTTATACACACTCTGCTTGCTCGCAACCTGCTTTGAAGCTTTGAAGCCATGTTGTATTGTTAACTGAACATATGAATCTGCTGCAGATGGAGAAGATATTTAGTCATGCTTGGAAGGGTAAGCATGGGGTACCAGAGGTTGTGTCTAGAGAAGAGGACAAGAAGAAACAGCCCGTTGTGGATGACTATGTGGACGATGAACAGGGACTGCAGAGAAAGCACATGGTGGACACCACACTCATTGTTCACTTCTTTGGAAAGAAGGGGAAAGCTGAACTTCGCTTTGAGGGGTTCAGAAGGTCAGGATAAGGTCTTTGAGCGTAGTACTTTGATACCTTTAATAATGTATTAAGTGACAGTTTGAATTTTATTTTCTTAAAATTTAAAATAGTTATAATCCTGATTATATACATCAAATCTTGTTAATTTTAAAGTGAAGAGGCAGAACATTTTCAGGCAATCTGTAGACAGTCCAATGTTACCCTTACATTTTCACCCTACCCGACACTTTTGTTACACCAATACATATTGAGAACAGGTATGTATATACACAATTCATGTGATTAAAAATAAACAATCGCATATCTCCACCATTGTTCAGAGTCCACATTAAAGAGTAGGTCCCCTCTGTGATAACTCCCACTTGGAAGTTAATTTTATACCCTTGCCTGTATTGGTATAGGCCAGAAAGGTTATGACAAGACAGAATATGGAGGCATTAGCTACATATAATAATCATCAAACATTTATCATAATTGACATGTTGAGTGGTCATGATCCTGTTTATGTACATAGAATATGCAAGGTGGTTTATATAGGCTTAATTCACAATTTAATTTAATATTTGCCTAAATAGACCAGTTATTAAATTTTCTGAGGCTCATTTCATTGCAGAGAATAAACAACATGTCAAGCAAATCAAATGTTTAATTAACCCAGTTTTCTTTTAGGTTTTTAGTATTTCTAAATGAGCTGCAGTTTATAAAAACCTGACATTTATTGTATATAGTCTCCATGCCTTGAACTGAAGTGTGATATCTGGATTTAGATTTAATAAAACAAATTGATGGTGGTTTTGTTACTGTTCAATTCAGTCGTTCCATGTAACATTATACAGGGACCTTCTTGAGAAGTTGGCAGTTACTCCTATGATCAAGAAATGTGTTTTGAGACCCTGGAAGTTCATCTCTGTAATCACAGACCACCATGTGATGTCATTAACCAGTTAAATTAATTCAACAAACTATTCGATATTTTACTTCCACCCACATCTTTTTTCTTGATTTTCCTTAACCACAACTTTGTACTCTGTATGTCTCGTATATATATCATACTCATTGAAGATTATAAAATAAATGCTGAGAACATTGTAAATAAAGAAATGCCTGTAATGGAAACTTATGCTTTTTAATGTTCCAGGTTTATGGAGAATCTTCAAACAGAAGTATTGGAATTAGAATTTCATGAGTTTTCTAAAGGGCATGACACCATTACTGAAGTTGACTTTGCCAAGATACTACTACGCTACACTTATCTCAACACAAATGAGTATGCACGTTACAATAAATACTGTTTAATATCTTAATTGTTTTGTAATTGTTTTAAGTTTTCGATGTGATCTGGCACTATTTCATTAAGGTGTCTCTTTTTTGAAATCATTCAAAACAACTTGCATTATGGAAGATTTTAAAACTAGAATGAAAATGCCCCATGTGTGATTGTCTTATGATATTCCTTTAGGCAAGTACATGGACAATACCAAACCATTTCCTCTCCCATTTCTGAAAATTCACAATTCATCCACTTGTTTTTGATATTTTTTTCACAATATTATCAAGTAATCTGTACATTCATAAACATTTTCAGTTTGTTATTTCATGTCGTGTCAAGAGTGAAGTTAACCAATTATCGCCATCTAGTTCCCAGTCTAGGATCTGTGATGATTTTTCTTCTTCCTCTGTAATCCTTCACGTTCTGATGCTAAAGGATCAGGGTAACTTCACCTTATCTTGAAACTTGCGACTGTGCCTCATGGTCGAGTGGCTAGTACTTGTGCTTTGTATTGTGGAGATCCCAGATTCAAATCTTGGCCCACAGACCGGCTATCCTGACTGGGACTTTTCATGGTTTTCCTTATTCCCTCACTGTCAAGCTCTCATTTGATGCTATGTAGTCTCAGATACTAAAAAGCATCGTTAAATAAACTGTAAATAAATAAGTTCAAACTTGCCTGGGCTAGATAGAAAATGAGTACCTCCTGCATGCAGGTCAAACAATTATCTTACCCAGTGGCATAAACCCTGTTCTTAAAGTTATTGTTAAATGTTGAAATTAATTTAGGGTTAATCACAAATAACTGACATTCTCATTATACTGGTGACATGGTGCCAGTCTGCTGCAGGTCGCTCATTATCAAGAAAACAAATGAACAGATGTATTGACTTTTATTATCTTTGCACCCTGCAGAAAGCTTCTTTCATTTGCTTTGTCTTATATAAAATGTTAAGTTTAATTGGTACTAATGAGGTGTCACTCTGTCTGTCCAATTATCCAGAGTTGTTGTTTACACAGCCATTGGTAATATTTCTTTTTTGACAGTTGCAAACTTGTTAAATTAACATTGCCTGCTTTTCGTAGTTGTTAGGTCTGATGTCATCGTGTAAATAACGATCATCATCTAGGACACTAAACACATTACAGAGCTGCATGTGTTCTGAATCACTTTATACAATTATAATCAATCATGACAGTCAAATCAGACAGGAAATTAGAAAGTGTTACACAGAGCAAATGTTTTCACAAGTCTGATGTAGAGAATAAAGAACATTTATGATAAATTTGGAAACACCGTTCTGATATATGTGGAGGTTACGTTCCTGCAAATTATCATGTAAAACAGGAAATGTATAAATGTCTGTGGATTTTCTAAGTGATGTACCATGAAAGGCCTTAATTTATAGTCCCTGGAGTCAGAATGTGTCAGTGAAACTGTGCATGCATCTAACCAAGCTTCTACCATGGCCACAGATTGGATATAAAGCCTTTTTATGATACTTAAATAAAATCATGCACATATCAAAAGCATGTATTACAAGAGTCGCATGTATTAACAAAAATTATAATACAAGCAGACAGCATAATTACATGGGAATTAAGTTAAAGCATCTCAGAGAATAAATTTCAGACTTTTGTTAGAGTGTGTAAAGATTTCGGATTAAATGTGAGTTTCGATAAATGTGTAGTTATGAAAACGGGACATGGAAAATATAAAATTTAACAATCATAAAAAGTGGAGAATTGATACTTCATAGCTACAGACAGGTTGTTAGATCTACAGATAACATAAGCAAGAAAAAGAATCAGTTAATTGGAATCTAGGATATACTTTAATTTGCTGTGCTTAATCCTGTTCATATCTTATTCACTGTTACATAACCTTACATTTGTGTACCATGTTACAGTAGGATACCAGAATTAAAAGGAATGAAATTCAGTGCTCTCTATGTGTGCTGATTAACTTTCTATCCTCAATTTTATATACAGAACTACAAATTTAGTCTCTGCATACTTTATGTGTTGGCACATATGAATGTTGTAGCAGTGACATCAACTTGCTGCCGTCCATTGTAACTAAAATGTCTGTCATGTTTCAGATATGACATGTACCTGGATCGCCTGCTAGACAGAATCAAGGAGGAGAAAGGAATTACATTTGAAGAGTTCAGAGTATTTTGTCAATTTCTTAATAACCTGGAGGACTTTGCTATTGCTATGAGAATGTACACACTTGCAGATCATCCTATCTCCAAAGGTAGATGAGTCATTAAAAGTGTTGCTCAAACTTACGTGATTGTCCAGGAACTTCTTATTCTTGGATACTTCTGGAGAGTAGTCAGGCATCATGCATTAGTGAAAGTTACTTTTTTGATGGGACCTCCAAGTGTGCATTTGCCCATTCCTTTACCATTTATGTTATGAAAAAAACACTTATGAAAGAAAAGTAAAAGGTAAAGTTGCCAGTTAGTAAACATCACACCGTGAATATATATGGGGGTGTGGAGGTGTAGGTGCTTTACCACCTGGAGGAGCTCAGGGTACCCACTGGATACAGGGCTGGGTGCGCCAATTTGGACATGATAGCTAAGAGAAAAATCCCTCACCTCTGCTGGGAATCAAACCCCGGTTGTCCAGCCTTATTTTTCTAAAATATTTAAATTTGCATATTTTTAGGTGTTCTTCACACTGTAGCATGTCTGAAGAACACCTAATGTTTCTGTCCATATCTATCTGTTGCATTTTTCCTACAGGGGAAGGCAACCTGCATGACTGGGGGGTCATTTTTGTGCAATAATTGAAACCCTTGATTATTGTTGTTGAAACATGTGCAACAGTGGGAAGACAGGTTGTTTGCACACGTTGCATAACATTGACCTTGGACTGCAACAATTATCTTTGTAGTATGGCATAAAAAACACCTTTGGAATGTCACTGTACTCCAGAGTACAACTTCCCAATCTTTTCTGTTGTTTTGGGTTAATATATGCAGCTTCAATCTAAATGTTTCCAGACGAATTCATTCGTGCAGTGAAGATTTGCACTGGAACCAACTTGAGCCACCACCTGGTGCGTACTGTGTTCCAGATCTTTGATGAAGATGGAGATGGACAGCTGAGCTACAGAGAGTTCATTGCAATTATGAAAGACAGAATACACAGGGGCTTCAAGGTATGAATTATTTACATTCATTGTCAAAATAAGGTCTCGTCTTTTCGCAGACATACGTCACCCTCCAATCATACGATGAGCTGTGGGTAGCTTAGCCAATAAGATGAGATGACTAGCTGGACATTTTTTGTCTGATGCACTGCAGGACAATTTAGGTTTAATTACCAGCAGGACATGGATCTCCTCTTTGCTGCTATTAGACTGACTCTAGTACAAGTCTAGTGAGTAACATGGACTGGCGGTAAGTGGCCAGAGTAATAAGCTGACCACCCACCTCCATCCAGTGCCAAAATTTATACATTTATTTCGTAATTTTATGTTGTCAGTGAAAAATAGAGAATGAGACGTCAATTTATATGTCATAAAATAATTGTCTTCAGGCCTCCTGACTGATTTATATTGAAGCTCTGGTGTATGTTTGTATTTTTTAGTCATATGCCAAGAATGAAGGCTGGGATGCTTTCAAATCATGTGTGAAACAAGAAATGAAGACACCAGTGTAACAAAAAACAGTGTGTATCCTATTAATTTTCTGTAATTATATTGGCTTCTCTTCTTCTTCATGGCTTTTGAGTTTTAAATTCAAATTAAGCTTAGAATGTTATGTCTTTGTTCCTTTTCAGTTAATTTTATTCCTAATATACTTGTTCAGTTATGTAAGTTACAGTTTTCTCTTATTCTATAAACAACTTGGAAACATAAACAATTGAGGAGTGTAGCAAAAAAATAAAAGCAATATCTGGGTTTTAGCACAGCAATTGTGTCCAGAAGAGTTTTGAATTCATATGCAGTCATGAGAGCCAACCACTCAACAAATACAACTTGAGGCCTAGAGTGTAGTACGCATATTACAGCCTCCTGCACAAATTTCTCACTGCTGTTTCTAAAATAAAATATGAGGGTGAGTCAGAAGGTTTCTGCAATTAATTTTTTGTTAAATAATACAGTTGCTGTGAGTACGTACAATAGCATCATTTTTCAATATGGTCCGTCCTTTTCAACACACTTGGTCCAGCAGTCCACAAGCTTGTGTATTCCCTCAGAAAAAAATGTTTTTGGTCGAGTGACAAGCCACACGTGCTCTGCCTTTTTCAGTTCTTGGTCCCTGGTGAAATGGCATCTTCTCAAAGCATCATTTAGTGGACCAAATAGGGACATAATAGTGGATCCATGTCTCGACCCCAGTGACAATGCGCCAGCGTTACAATAGCTGTTCAATAGGACTTGGTAAAATGTCCAATGGTCGTGCTCTTCTGCGAGTTGCTTTGGAACCCATTTTGCACAAACTTTATGAAATACACGTCAGCCTTAGATGATTTCATAAGCAGAACCATGGCACAGACTCCTCAAGGTCAAACATATTTCTCAATAACGTGCTTCTACACGCGCGCAAAATAAGCAGCGCAGCCAACATGACAAACTGTAAAATAAGCCATTGTGGAAACTTTCTCACTTACCCTCGTAGATATATGAAATTATGGGAAGGCCTGTGCCCTTTGTTTCCAGTTATCCCTTGCATTGCGGAAGGACGCTCTTGAAGTATTGTTTATTAATAAAACTTAAATACCTGTGTATATTTATGTATAATTTTGTAAGTATTTTATAAATTATGTCTCTAATAGATACGATGCATTTAAATGTGGTGCAAGTGATTCATAACTGAACATACAACGTGAACAAAGCCGTACATGGTATCCTATGCTCACAGAGCACAAACAGTAAACTTAAATTTAAAAAAAAGTAGGATTTGAAGTTGTGACAGTAGTGAGTATCAAGATGGCTGCCTTATTGATTGCAGCATCATGTAGTCTACTTCTGTTGTGCAGAGACATTTTTCAGCTGAATAGAATCATGGTATTGTATGTCAGAATTGCGATCCATACTGTTGAGTGGGTGGGGGTGAATTAGTACATTTTATATATTTATTTATATATAAGTGCTTGACAATGATAGCATTGCCATCACAATTCTGGCCTGTAATTGTTCATTCATTCCAAGAAAGAATAACATTTAGTTACAGAGGCTTGCTTTCATAT